ACTGCCTGAAGTCACCCCTCAAATTTTTGAGATGTTTTGGGTACCTGTTAAATCCTTCAGATTAAAAAAAAAAGCCAATGACAAAATATTTCCTAAAAATGTTCAGTGTATTATTTATGTTTGGGGTATTATTTGCAGTGTGATTTATTAAAATTCAGAAAAAAAAGGATTTTCTTTTTTTTGGAGGAGAGGGTAAACTGACTTTTAAAAGTATTTATTTGGGAAGAATCCACCACCATGCTAGATCATTAAAAGGTCTTGTTTAGCTTATTGATTCTTACCATGTGCTCTGCATAATTTTACCTACCTGTTGACTGGTTGGAAGGAGTTTCAATGTGTTCACACCGCAAAGCTCAACGTTTCTGTCTACATACCCTATGAATCTTGGAGACCAGCATATTGCTAATAATGAAATACTTTTAAATTCAAAAATAATGGTTTGGAACTGTGACTGTAAAGGACAAAGTTATTTTATGTCTATAGAGAAATCACACTGAGTCACAAAGTTTACACTGTATGAAATAACAGTTGAGGATCCATATACCTCCAAAGTGAAAAACTGAAAGTGATGACTATGACTTCCGGCACATTTGTATTTTCAATGACTTGTGTGGTGGTAATACCACTACTTTATAACAAGTACAAACAACATGAATGACTGGTGTTGCAGAAGCATAAATATTAGAATTTCTAGCTTGTAGGAAAAAATAAAATTGATGGTGGTACTAGAGAAAATAAAGAAAATTAAGACTTTTAGCAAATACTGCTATCTGAATATTCCCCAAAGTTTGTGGGTACAAAATACGTGATTATTCAATTCCTGTAGCTGTGTTTATTTCATTGCATAGATCAGACAAACTGTACAACTCATGCTAAGCATCAGCATGTTGTTCATAAATCAGTAAAAAATGTAGCACGGTATGCAAGATTTACTCAGACCTTCTTTCTATTCCAAGTGTTTGCAAACTTGGCAGAGTATGCATTCCTCAGAGGACTACGAGTATGCTATGTTTTAAGCATGTCTACCAAAACCATTTTTTAGTCAGTTAAAAACAAAAAACCCACATAACCATTTGCTGAATAACATAGGAAACATCTTTTGAATATAGTGAAATACAGCTAAAAAAAAAAAAAAAAAGGTTCTGTTCTGGCTTTTCTGAAAAGTTTCTCCTCTGGGGTGAAACAAAGTTTAAAGAATATCAGCCCAAGAAATAGCTTTTCTAGAAGAAAAAAAATGCTGGCTGTGTTTGAGCCTCCTTCCAGAGGACTCCTTATGCTCTCTTTCAGAAATGTTTGCAAATGTAATCTCCTCTGGTTGTGCTTACATAGAAAACACTTTAAACACTCTTTTGACAATGATGTACTTTGTTTGGCTCTTTGCTGAATATTCTATGCTTTAAATTTAATAATGGTTATAATTGCACTTGCATACTAATACAGTTACTGTGATCCATAACCAAAACTTGTTGTCAATATACTTATTTTCCACTCAACTTTAAAGCCATAGTCTTTTTTTTCAACTTTTAGCCATAGTATATTTTTTCAATTTACTTTGATACGGAGGTCTCATTTAAACTTCTTATTCTATTAAGATGAACTTAAGGTCTTGAAATAGGAGTCTTCTCATTAATATCTACTGTCCCATACTTTAATTAAATTTTAGGCTATATATTCCACCTTCAGTGGAATAGTGCTGAATCTGCCTATTCTATTTTGCCATATATTTCAGTTTTAAATACCTTTCGACAGAAGCCTTTGCTGTGCAGGAATACAGGATGCAGTGACAGGGAATATCTGTGGAACTAACTGAGCCCTCCTGCTGCTATTGCTCCTTTATGTCTTCACGGTGAAGGCTGCTTTAAACTTTCACCTTCAAATTTCCTTTGTTAATTACAGTTACTGGAACAAAATAATAATATTAAAATAAAACTGATATACCATTTAGCATATGCATTGTTTAGGAACATTTTGCTATATAAATACTCTGTACAGATTAATCTTCTGTAGGAAAGGATTTTTTGCCTGTTTTTAGTTCTGTGTTTGTCTGTGCCTAAGAAAATGGAGTCTGAAATTACAAATGCAATTGCCCAAGTCTCTTTGGGAGGCGTCATACAGCGACTGGAACTACTCAACGATGTTTCTCCCATCCTGGAACAAATAGTCACTTAATGTTTTAAAGACGTTCTATCAATTGTATTTATACTGAGCCACTGAACTACAGAGAGGGAAAAGAGTCCCAGGAGTTCATTTTACAAAGCAATTGAGAGGAGACACTTGAGGCCAAATGCAAATCTGACCAGGAAAAGCTGCAGACTGCCAGCAACTCACTATCCGACTTGGATATTAAGCTAACAGTCTCAGTTTGAAAACTCTTTTATGCTCTCATCTTATGCAGTAAAGGAAATTTACCTTCTTATCTTCACAGTTATTTGCAGCCATAACCTTCACAAATCTTCTCACCTAGAAAAAAATACTGGGTTTTCTTGAGTTGAACTGAAGTTTCCAAACAAGGCCTATAATTTTGCGTATGGAGTTTTATCCCAAAAAAGGGATCTGAAAATAAGCTTTTACATACAATCATACCCAAATTAAAATATTATGTGGTTTAACAAAATCATTTTGCATCATTTGTTTGTAAGCCAGAAGATTTATGAACAAATTAACCTACAAATTCTCCCTTAAACACCTAGGAAACACCAAGAAAAATGTTCCTTGTCTGTGATGCCCACGGAATCTTTGACAGAAATTAGGCTGCAGTTGTGCTTAAGCCTTGGTGGATCATATAGATCCAGGTTGTTTAATGGTTTTCTTTCTTTAATCCTTTTGTCTTGCATCCACCTGCATGCTCTTTGTGGTTGGCGTTGTCTTTATTTGCTCCCCGAATTGCACACAGCTACTCCCCACTGGGATGATTTCAGATTCAAAGGTGTGTGCAGTGTGACTATGCCCACAAGCCTATGTATGTGCACACTGCAGGTGAGGCTGAAACTGCTCTGAAAAGTTACATTTTAGTTGCTGGGTCTTTCTCAGAACCCCTGAGTTAGGAGCCCCTCTTGCCACTGAACTCCCAACGCTGACCAGTGCCGTTTCATATGGGCAAAGTGAAGAGCAGTTCATCCTACTGATACTAAATGTAAACTTTGGCAAGGAAAATCAAACAATTGCAGCAGGCATTGAGCCAAGCTATTAAACCAACTGAAGTGAGTATTTTATTTCAATTGCTGCCTTAGGACTGTTTTATTCGGAAAAGGTCGCACTCCATTCTGGCCTTTTTGCAATAAATTATTTATCAGTTTAAAAAAAAGAGGCTACAGAAAGCAACAAAAGATGTACTTTGGTTCTTTGTGATACAAGCTGCATATTCTATCATCTTGTGCTGAATTAATCATAAACAATATTAAATTTCCTCTATCCTTAAAACTGGAAAAGTGCGGAAGTACCTTCCAAGGACAGGTGTTATTAATTTAAGATTAAGTAAAATACAACAATCCTTTCCACATATCACTTCCAGGCTTTACACAATGTAGACTTCTGTCAAATGTTTTCTGTTCTGTTCTTGTTTCTAAAATTTACTACACACTTTGGTTCACAGGAGTTTTGTTTTGCTCACCTGTAAACATCATGTTGCTGACCTTAGAGCAGTTGAAACCATGCATAATGCAATGAGTACCTGCTAAAATAATTCAGCAAGTTTTCCAGAATGAGTTTCCCAAGATGTATTTTGATGTATTTTAAAAGCACATGAGATTCGTTGTTGTCTAATATTCAGTGTGCATGCAAACATTTGGGAGATTAGTGACACATTTTTCAAACTTTCTCAACTCCATCATTGGGATAGTACTGTAGGAAAGGTTATTTATGATAAAATTAGTAAACAGATGTTAATGCATTTGATTAGATGGAATCATTTGATTATATTTTAACATGTGAACAAACAGCATCTGAGCAAGAGGATTAGAAATCCTCCTATGCAAAAAGTCTTCTCCCTCCCTGCTTCCCCTCCACAGCATTTGCTGTAAGATACTTGTAGTCGTATCTTTCTAAAAACCTTGTTCATTTTACAACATACCAGCATTTAAAGACATAGAAATGTCTTGAAAATAATTCTAAAGGAGAAATGTATTAAACACTGGGGAACCTCCAAAGCATTTCTCATTGATCTTGGTTTTACACCTCTGAGAGAACCTTAAAAATTACTGTACTCAATTCAGGACTATGCTGAGTACATATCTGAAATGCTGGGCGTGCTGCCAGATCCAGGGATATCCTTTATCCTTTTCCAGCTGTAGCATCAAGTTATTACAACAAGTAATGTCAATTCCACAATACTTTTTCTTTATGTAAACTTAACGCATGCTACAAAAATTTAAATCCTGCAACAAGCCGCAAAGAAGGCAAGTGCAACCGTACAATAGCTCCTATACCTACTGAACATACATGGAATGTGTGGAAAATTAGTATGCTTTTATAGAACTAAAAATTCTAACATGATACGTACGCAAAAGCGGGTCAAATCAAATTTGTGTAAGGAAAAACTTCCTCATCAGGAGCATAGTCAGCACTGGAGCAGGTTTCCAAACCTGAAGGTTTTCAGGACCTGGCCAGTTGACCTAATGTGGCAATAGTCCTGCTCTGAGCAACTGGTTGGGCTCCAGGACATTTTGCAGTTTCCGTCTTTGGAGATTTTCAAGACCAGGATGGATAAAGCCCTGAACAACCTGCTCTGCGCTCACAGCTGGCCTTGCTCCAACCTATAGACGTCCTGAGGTCACTTCTTATCTGAATTATCCTGTGATCCTGTGACTTCATATTAGAGACAGCATCACACAGGAGGTGCTTTCCTGACACTATTTCAATGATTCTGTGCATCTTACATCCAAACTAATAAGGGAACACATTAATACTATTATTTCAAAATAAATCACTATATAAAATGCCCTTTGTCAAAAAAAAAAACCAAAAGGAAACAAATAAACCCCACTATTTTGGCACTTGCCTGCAGTACTGGCTTGTGTTGAACTGTTAGATCCCTAGCATAGACTTCTGACATCAAAGTTTAAAAAGGAATTGATATTAACACTAGCAATATCAATAGGAAGCTGTTAAACAGGAATTAGATACTGCCAGTGAATGTCATAGATTCTTGCTGACACTGACAGATTTAGGACTCAGAAACCCAAGTTATTGTCCAGGCTTTTTTTTTTTTTTTCCCTGCAAAGATATTTTAATGGGTGCAGAAAGAGCTGGAAAGAATCCAAAAGATTTCTTCCTCCCTGCACCCCCGTCCCAAAAAATTCCAGTAGTAACCATTCGGTTACATTTCCTTGAAAAGTCTGGCATCTTCTTTTTTCATCTTCATTCATTTAAAACAGAGAATATGAAATACCTGCTGCTTGTGCATGCCTGCCGTGCTAGTTCGTTAAAGGAGACTAAAATAATCCAGAGGGGCAACAACCACTGGGCTTTAGTTAGTTGGTTTTATTCAGCTGAGATCTTTGCAAGAACTTTGTAGTAACAACATCCACCGTTAATCTGTGACTGTTATAGGAATCAACTTCTCAATTAGTAAATAGCAACTAAATGAAGTGCAGTGCCCTGCTTGTCCCAACAAAACGCTGTAGCGTTTCCTCACCCCGAGTGTCCAGGGACCTCTCGGCCTTGCAAGGGGCTGGCAGATGCCAGCATATTTATTCTCCCTGAACGTGCAGGGGACTCTCAGCCCTAAGGAGTTCCCTTAGCCCAGCATCCCAGGAAAGGGGAGGGGAGGGAGGGATACTCACAGACCAGCCAGAGGAGCAGGCCGGGGCGTTCCCAGTCACTGCTCAGCTCATCAGCACTGTGCCCCGTCCTTCGTACCATTAGGAGGAAGAAGGGATGGCTGTGCCACGGTCAGCCTTTCGTCAGGCGAGTTCCCTACGATTATCTCTCAATTCTTTATTGAGTTTCACAGATGTACCAGTTCTTTAGCAAGCTTGGTGTGGCTTGCAAGTTTTAGCGAAGCGAGGCTGCCCTGCCTTTGCGAGTCTTACGACCTCCCTTCTTTTCCATTATGAAAAAGTACAAAAAGTTTCACCCCGTCGCTTTGGCACATCAGCAGTGGTCTTGCCGTTTCAAATGTTAACTTGCTGCTTGCCCAGCAATGCCACAGGCAAGGAAACTTCGGCAGCAATCTTATTTCTGATATATTTTAGAACCATTTTTGATTATCTTCAGGAACAAAAAAATAACATCTTTTAAATTAGAAAAATACTATAAACTCAAAAAAGAGGGCTCACTATCCATTTTTTTTCCTATCCATCAGGGAAATCTAGAGGTGTGTCTTCAAAAAGAAAGGTAGGGGATTCTGGAAAACTGTTCAAAGAATTTGTGACACCCAGGCAACCTTGGGAAGCAAAGTGAGGAGACAATCCCAGCTTAGGCCAGACCCTCATCGATGGGATGATGTCCCACAGGGTTGGAACACAGCAAACCAAGGTGGAGCCAGGTGCCAGCAACAGTGTCTGTCAGGTCCCCAACATAGTTAGCAGTGACCTAGGTCCAGGGAAAGCCAGGCAGGAGCAACAGGAGACTGGGCCAGAAATCGGGATAGAGACACAATAAAATGTCCAAAGGGTTGGCCAGGAACCGCAGCCAGGATTGAGAGCAGGCACACCTAGGCCATGACTTAGGAACTGAAGGCCCAGGCCTGAGCTGAAGCAGCTCCTGGGCACGTGGGGTGGGCGCAGTGGCTGGGAGAGCCTCAGGTGGGGCTGCTCAGGGCCATCCAGGCCTGTTGATGCCCTCAGGGCCCTGACGAGTGGCTCCCAAGAGCCACAGAGTGGGTGCACCCTAGTGAGAGATGTAATTCGTGGGGTTTCTGCAGGGTAACAGCAACCCTTGGTTTCTCAGTATCTTAACAACAAAGAAAGAGGGGTGGTTAGTCATGCAGTGTGGTGTCAAGTTGTGGAACTCCCTGCCAAAGAATGCCGTGGATGCTAGAAGTTTCCACAGACGTTCACACAGAGACTGGATACATTCACAAGGCTAAACCTACGGAGCAACTCTGAGCGTTGCTGTGCTCATAGAAACAACATCTGAGCCACAAATTTGTTGAAACCTGAAAAGTACTTAGAGACACGTCTGCCACCTTCTTCAAGTTTTCTGTTGGTTGTTGGCCAATCTGCCGCTGGCTGCTGTTGGAATTAGGACATTGGGCTACGTGGTATTTGCTCTTACCAATGGGGCTGCTTTTACAGTCTGTGTTCTTACAGACTGTTGTTCTTATAGCTAAAAACAACAGAATTCATCAAATGTGTCAGGATAAGCATATCCAGCTTTCATTCCTAGGGATCTCCCAGATCCAGCGGAGATTATCTCAGACGGTTGTGGACTGAGTGGGACGACAGTAGAACCCAACGATTAGGGCAAAGAGACAGGCTGGAGAGGAGGACTGACTGGAAGAGACATTCTCCTGGGCAAAGAAAAGGAGGAGAGGCCTGACTGGAACAGATCTCTCTGGAAGGGAGGAAAGCTGCAGCAGGACTGGTCAAGGAAGTCACAGAAGAAGAGTAGCAAGGAGCTGAAGATGTAGGTTTATGGTAGAAAACTGGGGCAAACTGAGAGGGAACACTCTTGAGCAGTGATCCGACTTCAGCAGCAGGCTTAAATATAACCTGGAAGATCTTGCTTCCTGAGTGATTCTTTAGGTCTCTTCTGTTCTGCTTCCTTCCTCCTCTCATTAGTCCCATGTTGTTGCCTGAATCACCATCCTGCTGGCCTGAGGAAGTAGTTTATTCAACATGCACACTTTAGCACAAGATTCTTGTAATTTTTAAGCAAGTTAATGTTTTGGAAAATAGCGTATTGATTTTTTTCAGTAAGTCAGCACAGAATGCACACAAAATACTTCTGAAGGTTTTAAACTACTCGTGCTCGTATGTATTGTTTCTTTATTCATGTTAGAGAAACAATAATAATATAGAATATAGTACAGATCACTAGCAATGTAGAAGCCTAAATATTTATATAGGCTTATATTCATTCATTCAGATATCCAAATCATGTGTATAAATATATACACACACACTTTTCCAGAGAAGTTTCCTAAGGGCAAATCTGTCATCATTCCATAAAGTGGAACACACATGTTGTGCCAAATTCACATGAACCATATTATTTGCAGCGTTAATTCATTTCCTCCATGTCTCATTTCAGCTCTACTGATTTTTCCTGCACATTTACCTTGATGATAAATACACACATACTTTGTCATGCTGCTCATTGTAATAAGAAAATAAGTACTGTACTTTGTAGGAACAGGTATGCCTCATACTATGCATTTTTTGGAAGGTGACAACACAGCAGTGTCATGAGGTACCAAGTGTCACCTTAAGAAATACATCTGAGATGAAACCTGAACAAGAAGCTTTCATCACCGTCTTGGAAGCCTTTAGAACCTACTTGCCACCCCGTGTTAACTGAGTGGGGTTTTCAGAAAGAAGAATCTGCTTTTATTTGCATGTATATCTCAATACAAATTACAGACTCTTTTTCTTTGAAGTTCTTCTTCAAAGCATCTTCAAAGGTGAGTCTCTAGTTTGTAATGAGATATACATGTAAATAAAATCTGATTCAATTAACTTAGTAATTTGCTTCTTGAACAATAGGATTGTTCCTATTAAAGCAGAGTTCCCCTTGCAGGGCTTCAGTGAGCAAGTATATACAAATGCTACCAATGTAATGCTTGTTGCAGTTGTCAGAGAAAAGACCTATAAAGGGAAAAAAAGCAGTTTCCTATCTGTGAATCGTTGCTACAATACAAAATTATGCAAAAGCTCATCTAAGTGGAGATAAAGCATATTTTCTCTTAGTGAATGTACAACATAATTATTTGATTCCAGCCAACAATTATCTGCGGAATTTGTAGTATCAAATCAGGACCACATCCCTTGGATTATTTACTCTTAACATATTATTATCTTTTATAAAAAATCAATTATTCACCATAAAATTGCTTTCACTATGAAAACATATAATGAAGTCTAAGAGATGCCTTTCCAATTATCTTTACTTGTAGGTTCTGCTATATCAGATATAAAAGTGAGTAAGAGAGAAATTTTAATAATAATTCTAATACCATGTACTACACAGTGATAACAGAAGTATCAGAGCAAAATGGTACCTGCTGATTTGCACCGTAGGGCTCTTCTGAGACCTCCCAGGGCAAATCACACACTGTTCGTACTCTGTTTTATGAGGGTAACTCAGTTAATCTACTTGACCCCTCATAAGAGAGACTAAGCAGCAGCAGGTTGACCGTGGGATCCAGCTGTTTTCTGAATATGAAGATTACACTAATTTGATAAAATAAATGGAAATAATAATTTCCATGTATCATAAAAGGCCACAATATATTATATTTTAACTACTTTAATAGAAACAAAGAATACCTAGTCACCTTCCATGCTAATAGTTAAGCCTTTTTGCTTTATTCTGCACAAGCAGAACATCATTAACCATAGAATACCAAGATCTGCTAAGCATTTAATTCAAAAAAAGTTATCAAATGTCCTTATATTTGCAAGGAAGAGACAAATAATGGTGAGAAATGCAATTGTCTGAGTTCCTCTGCAACAGAGACAGCAACAAGAAACAGATTTCGGGGGGCCTGAGCTTATTAATTACAGTAGCTAGGTAGGCAATCCCTGCTAATGTTGCCTGCCGTGAAAATTTAAGTTCCTGCTAAGTAATTCAAGATTGAAATGAAGGACAGAGAAGGCAAAGAACTGTTTCAAACTAAAAGTAGAAACAGATTCCTCCTTATTCAATGTAGAGCTTGGATCAGTAAACCCTCTGGGACTGTCACTGGAATGAGGTTGTGTGACAGAACAGTGGACCTTTCTTGTTTAATGAAAACTGCTAATCGTCCCATTCTTTATCCCTGATACTGTCCAAGGATCTTCTGAATTTCAAATCTCAAAGACTGAGGTATGTTTACTTTTCATGAAAAATAATCTCACAACACTTTCCAACTGTGGATTAGTGTGGTGTGTTTGGACTAAATTTCATAGTATATATCAGAATATAAATAATATGTATCATAATATAAATCATATGAATTAAGAAGACTTTAAAAAAATGAAGTCTTTTCAAATAAAAATGATTATTGGAAGAGTTTCTTTGGGAAGGAAGAGGAAAGGAAGCAAATGGAAGGGAAGGAAAGACATGGAGTTTGGTCAGAATTGGGGAAGTTTGCGCTACCTGGAGGCTCACAAAGTAAGATTTCAGGAAATACTTTGTTCTGGTCTTGAATGTTCATTATTTTCATGAGATCATTAATTGTTGCCTCCACTGCAGTGAACAGGAGGGACCTGGAGAACCAAGCAAAGCAGAGGAGGGACCCTGGCAGTGCACGGAGGCACACAAGGAGGTGCCAGGAGGACAGCACATGGCAGCAGCTCTCACCTTTTCCAGGGAAGCAGCATAAGTGGCATCCCCTCTGGACCTGCCAACGAAGCACTCCCACATGGAGGCATGTAGCCCACGGAGCAAAGAGAGGCCTGTGTGCAGCATAGGGCGGCAGTCTCATCGAGGGTGCAGCAGGACAGTGCACTCAGTGCAGCGCTGCTGCGGCTGGGTACAAGCTCCTGAGGAAGGACAGGCTGGCAGCAAGGAGGGGGACTGGTCCAGGATGTAACGGAGCAGCCAGGCTGTATGGAGCTCTGCCCTGGTATGGGTGAAGAGCCAGGTGAGAGCTGGGGACGCTCTGCTGGGCCCCATACTTACAAACAAATGAGAACTGTTTGGGGAGGTGGAGGCTGCAGGCAGTCCTGGCTGCAGCGACCATGAGATGATGCTGTTCAGCATGATGAAAGGAGAAAAAAAAATGAAGCAAAAAGCAGAATCACAACCCTGGACTTCAGGAAAACAAACTTTGGCCTGCTCAGGAACCTGCCTGGAATGGGATGCCATCTGGAGAGAAGAGGGATTCAGGACAGCTGGTTGATTTTCAAGGATCACCTCCTTTGAATTCAGGAACTGGCCATCCGGACATGCAGGAAATCAGACAAAGTTGTCAAAATGCCTGCATGGATGAACAAAGAGCTCCCGAATAAACTCAGACATAAAAAGGAAGTGTCACAGGCTGAAGCAGGGACAGGTTACACAGGAAGGATATAGAGCACTGGGAAAGCAGGCAAGGATGGGGATTAGGAGCTCACCAGGAGCTCAATCTGGCAAGAAATATGAAGCATAACAAGAAGGGCTTCTACAAACCTATCAGCAGCAAAAGGAAGAGTAGGGAAAATGTGGAACTACTGCTGAGTGGGAATAGGGTCTTGGTGACAAAGGACAAAGAGAAGGCCATGGTACTAGGTGGTCTTCGCCTTTGTCTTTACTGACAAGACCAGCCTTATTGCAGGTGCCCCAGTCTCATGAGAGCAATGGGAAAGTGTGGAGCAAGGAAGATTTACCCGCAGTGGAAGAGGGGACATTGAAACAACTGGCCTGGCACAAGTGCATGCAAGTGGCTGGGATGCCCCTGTGAGCACTTAGGGGGCCAGCCCACGTCACTCTCAATTGCTTTTGAGGGGCCAGGTGATGCAGGGAGGTTCCTGAGGAACACAAGGAAGCAAGTGTTATTCCTATCTTCACCAAGAACAAAAAGGAGCAGCTGGGGAACTACCGGCCAGACAGCCTCATCTCAACCCCTGGAAAGATAATGGAGCAAATAATTCTGGACATCCATATATATGAAGGACAAGAAGTTGTTTGGGAGTAGTTGGCATAGATTTACGAAGAGGAAACTGTGCCTAGCCAACATGGTAGTTTTCTGCAATGAAGTGATTAGCATGTTGGGCAAGACAAGAGTAGCTGGTGAAACTGTTTATCTTGACTTTAGCAAGGCTTTCATCACAGTCTCCCATAACATTCTCTTTGTCAAACTGATGAAGAACTGACGAGATAAGCAGACGGTGAGGTGGACTGAGAACAAGCCCAACTGCCAGGCTCAAAGGGCTGCGATCGCAGGCACGAAGTCCCTCTGGAGGCCAGTTACTAGTCGTGCGGCCTAGTGAGGGATACTGGTCCAACGCTGTTTGACAGCTTTGTGACTGACCTGGATGTTGGGCCTGAACACACCCCCGGCAAGTTTGCAGGTGATACAAAACTGGGAGGAGTGGCTGGTGCAGTGGATGGTTGTGCTGCCATTCAAAGTGACCACAACAGGTTGGAGAAATGGGACAACAGAAATCTCACAAAGTTCAGCAAAGGAAAATGTGAAGTCCTGCACGAGGGGAGGAATAACGCCCCACACAAGTACAGGCTGGAAAGCAGCTTTGCCCAAAAGGATCCAGAGGTGATGGTATAACAAGCTGAGCAGAAGCTACCGATGGGCTCTTATGGCAAAAAGGCCAATAGGCTCTTGGGCTGCATTAGGAAGTGTGTTGCCAGCGGGCTGAGAGGTGATATTCCCCTTTACTCAGCAAATGCACTTAGCATATAAGTGCTGTGCCCAGTTCTAAGATCCCCAGTACAAGAAAGACATGGACACACTGGAGCAAGTCCAGCAGAGAGACATAAAGATGATTAATGGACTGGAGCATTTTCCATATGAGGACAGCTTGAGAGAGCCAGAACTATTTACCCTGGAAGAGAAAAGACTTGGGGGTAGGGGTCCCACCAATGTGTATAAATACTTGATGGGGCACAGTAGATGGAGCCAAACTCTTCTTGGTGGCATATGCTCACAGGCAAGAGCCAACACGCACGAGCTGAAATACGGGAAATTCTATTTATTGTGAGGATGGTCAAACACTGGATGTGGGTGTTGCAGTGTTGGACTAGAGGATCTTCATAAGGGTCTCCCACCCCTGGCGACTCTGTGTCCTCCCTTTTCAGGCCTTCAAAGCTGACTGTTGGCTTGAAACCCAACATACTGCTCTCTGACCCCTGCATAAAGGCAGGCAGTATCAAGGACTATCCATACACTTGAACTGCACGTATCCTCTGCATTTCTCCCTTCTCCTGCTCAGCTTACATTTCTAGCATAGTTACCCTCCTTTTTTTTTCTCTAAGAATATGAGATTCTAGCTATCAAGAGCTTAATTCCCCATCTTCTCCAGAAATACTTCAACTTGCGCACTGATTCTTTTACAGTTTTAAGAAAGCTATTCAGTTCAGCACCAGTTAAACTGTTTAGTGGTTTTGTAATCAGAAAGGGTTCCAGGAAAGAAGTGAGGAATTGGTGCCATCTCTAAGTTGGAAGTAAGAGTCGCAGTTAAACTCAACACAGTTACATTTATACTAATTTTGTTTCGTACATTTTGAGAACAATTACTAAGCAATAAAGAAGATTTGGGGGGAAATGCTTTCACAAAAGCAATACTAATATGTATAATATAAAACAAACTATTAAATATTCAAGATGTAAAGTTGGCAATGTCTTTCAAAGAGATCAGAAATAAAGCATAGATACCTCTGCCGCTCTGTCAAACTCTCTTGAAAGTAAGTGATTACAAATACTGGTAAAATAACAGTTAGGATAATATTAAGAAAATAATTGTTATACCAAAGCTATTTTTAAATAAGTTTTTACTCTGTTTAGTGATGAGAAAGGAAAAAAAAAAAAAAAGCCAAGGTATAAAGAGGTCAAGAGTGTGAACTGCTGCTGCCATCTGGAGTACAGAGACTGCCATTGACAAACATCTATCCAGCATCAAACTAAGGCCTCCCACCTACAGAAATGTTCGTGTTTGAGCTCCTCGATCTCTGGACTCTACTGCAAAGAAAACACAGTGCATTTCCTAGCCTTTCTGCTGTCCTTTTATCTTTTAACACTTCCGATACCTGAAGATTTACGGAATTCCGTTGCTGTTCTGATTCTGGCTTCCCCCAGCATTTCACAAGCATTTCACAGAGCATTTCCACTAGGAGGCTGGAGGTGCGTTTGCAGAGTGGTAGGCGGGGGTGCACAGCTGCCCGCGGCGCAGGAGCACGCGGCTCCTGCCCGGCGGGCTGTGAGGGCTCAGGAACGCGGGTCTCCTCGGGGCAGCCAGGGAGAGCCTGAGCCCCAGCCTCGGTGCCGGGCCGGAGCGCCCGGTGCGGCAGCGGCCGCAGCGAAGGCCGGGCATTGGCAGCTTCATGCTGTAGCACATGGAGCCGTCCCCACAGTTTACATGCCAACAGCACCGGCAGATGTTTACTATAACCGCTATTATTGCAATGTCGTTGTGGCTTGTAATACCGCCCAGAAACAGCCTTCCTCTTCCTCTCTCTCCCCCTCTCCCTCTCTCTCTCCCTTTCTCTCCCTCTCCCTCACTCCTCTCTCCCCCGTCTCTCTCTCTCGGTCACCCTCCTTCCCTCTCTTTCTCCCTCTC